ATAAACCTCTCCTCTAAACATGTTTAAAGCTGCCTGTGAAATTGAATGCCTGCAACCAGCAACAACCAAACCAGTTTCATCTTGGTTCTTCTTCGATTTTGAAACAGCTTTGGCCGCCTTCCAGTGTGTGTCACCGCAAGCATTGTTTCCCTTCTAAACAGAAAAGTATTCCCAATTAATCTACTAGTTTTATTTTACCTAAGAGTAGTTGTTGGACTAACTAACCTTAACCTTACTAATAACAAATGAAATTTCTTACTTGCACTTCATTCTTGTTTGCAGTTTGAGACAAACTTATGATGTGTGAATCTACCTTGGCATTGTCAAAAATCAGATAGTCACAGTAATAAGAAGGATTACTGCCCCTAAAAGTAAAGCAAATGTATTAAATAATTATATTGCATTAATTGGATGCAATTGTATTACATGACACTGTAGTTCAATATATATTTACTATCCTTGGGTTACAACCAATCTATTGGGACACACCACGCTGGCTGGTGCCCACAATAGACCCATGGCTGACGCGCATTGTGTGGAATGATGTTTACAGTATATACCTGTACAGTAACCGTTTATTAAAAACACTGGTTAGTTTAATAGATGAAGAAAATTCAATATAAATGTTTATTCACTGTTTGCAAAAATTAAGTGTATTCGTATTTTAAGCACTATAAAGCATTTGCATCCAGTCTTTATCTGACTTAGAACTGATCGCCTTCAGCTTGCCTTGTAAATTAGACAAAGATCAGCTGCTCATGCATACTTTATACTGTAATTACCATTTCACGTCTATTGGACGCATAGCTTTATATTAATTACTATGAATACCATGCACAATTTAAAAGAACATAATTAATAATGCCAACTACATAATTAGAAACTAATGTTGTTCACCTTGATACCTTCTTGAATCGGTAAACCTTATGGTTGCCATCAACATGACAAGAGTGTTGGTCAACGCTGCAAGGTGGACACTTCTGCCAGTCCTGATGCTGTAAAGAATCCAGTTCAAACTGGCAATAGCACCACTCTGCAAAAGCTTTTCTAAAAGTTGATGCATTTATAACATTTACCTGTAAAGTAGTTAAAAACATTACAGTTACACAGTATATATAATAATATAATGAAATATTTCGGGAAATGTAAATGCATGGGCTTGTAATTAACAATTATTGGATGAGACTGAGCATAATATCAAGAATTATCCAGACTGAGGTCAATGTTATATGAATTATTGGATAACATTGACCAAGGCAACTTGGATAATTCTTGATATCATTCAAAAGCCGAATTAAATAATTGTTTTACTAAACAATTAAAAATGTGGAAGCCTTTTGACAGTTTTGTAGGAAAGCCATGCATTCATGCCTAGAGACAATTTTCACTGTCATTGTAGGTGACAAGACATTGAGAATTGTCTGTAGGTTCTTAGCAATCACAATTGAGATTGTGTCAGCATTGTAATCTGAGTTACATGTAGTTGTCTTCACTTTTTTCAAAAACTGCTTTCTTAACAGAGAAAAAATAATCCAACTACACACGACAGATATAATGAGAACTTCAACAATTTAACATATTAAAGGTTAATAAAAAAATAATTTGGCTAAAAGCTTGGCAGTACAGTAGAACAATACTGTACAAAATTAACATATTACCCTGTTCTTTGAATGAGACAGGTCTTCTAAACTACGTAGAAATGCTGTTTGAGAGGAGCCTGGCATTTGTTTTCTGAACGCATCCCAAAGGGAGAACAGTTTCTGATCGTAGAATGTATTCACATTCATAGGACTGCCTGGCCAGAAACCACTTTGTAAGATGGAGCAGATGGAATGTGGTGACCATTTCCAAGCACACGACGAACAGCAAACAGTAAACCAGTTTAAGTCAAATCGTCCTAAATTCGAAAAATGTGAGTTTAACCTATACATTTATTATTTGCTTTAATCAATTTGTTTCCCATCATCATTATTTTAAAAGCACAATTATTAGAGCTTCTCCCATTGGTTTAATTTTGTAACTGATATCACTTTCAAGAAAGAGGCATGTCTTAAAGTTTTTAATTGACTGGCAATGTGTATGTTGGTAGTGGAAAGATCATATCAAGTGGCATTTGTCACTTAATCACATTGACAATATATTATCATCTCAATATATTATCATCACATAATTTTTTGCTGACAGAGAAGAAACTTAACCAGGAAATATGCATGCACCTTATATATAGTGTTATAAGGAATAAAAATAATACTCGGAGTATCACCTGAAGATCGCTTTGAAAGCGTGAAACACTGTGTAGCGATTAATAAAATTTATATATATTATATATATATATATATATATATATATATATATATATATATATATATATATATATATATATATATATATATATATATATATATATATATATATATATATATATATATATATATATATATATATATATATATATATATATATAAGTATATATATATATATATATATATATATATACATATATATAT